GAAGTAGGAGCACGGGTGAGCTGGGGGAGGAGAGGGCGGGTGCGTTCCAGAAGCCGGCACAGCCACGGGCGGTTTGGGGGAGTGACCCCCGTTGTGATGTCCCGGAGCCTCTGACTGTGGCGCCCAATATGTGAACGGGCCAAGGACAAACATCAAGGTGGTTTCGGACAAATCCTGCCACCTGCCTCCCCCCGCCCCCTCGAGGGTCCCCTACAAAGCAACTTAGAGGTCACAGCCCTGCCAGCGTGGCCAGATGGAGCCCCCGGCCCTGCCCCCACTCCACCGTCTGCCCCCTGTCCCAGGCTCCGCTCCCCGGGGCATGCGGACCCCTCAGGTCGGAGGTTCGAGTGCCCCACCTCCCGCAGCACGGGCGGCAGTGTGACCCCGAGCTGCCAGCCCCCTGCGGAGGACCGGCCTCGAGTCCCCACGGCGACAGGGAGCCGGCTGCACATCGGAGCCGCCCGGGCCTCTCCTCCACAACCAGGGAGCCTGCTCTCCACCTCCGAGTCTGCCTCTGGTTTGCTCGTCAGTTCGGCTGGGCCGTCAGGTCCCACACAGGAGTGACAGGAGTGAGGTCACACGGTCGTGTCTTCCGCCGCCTGGCTTATGTCACTCAGCGCAGTGCTCTCCAGGCCCGTCCGCGCTGTCGCAAAGGGCGGGATTTTCTTGTTTTTCATAGCGGAGTAGAATTCCGTTGTGCAAACGTCCCACAGTTGTTGTATCCACTCATCTAGTGGTGGGCACTTGGGCCACTTCCACTCCTTCGCTGTTGTGGATAACGCTGCAGTGACATGGGCTGCCGACGTTCCTTCAAGTTAGTGTTCCGGTTTCTTCGGATCAGTTCCTGGAAGTGGGATCACTGGGTCATACGGCAGTGTCATTTTTTATTTTTTTGAGGTGTCTCCACACTGCTGTCCGCCGTGGCTGCCCTGGCCTGCATTCCCACCGACGGTGTGCTGGGGTCCCCTTTCTCCACACCCCCGCCAGCTCTTGTTGTTTGCTGGGTTGTGGGTGACACCATTCTGGCAGGTGTGAATGCTATCTCACTGTGGTTTTAATGTGCGTCTCTCTGATGGTCAGTGATGTTGAGCACCTTTTCATGTGTCCATTGGCCGTCTGTACGTCCTCTTTGGAGAAGTGTTTATTCTGGTCCTTTGCCCGTTTTTGAAATTGGATCCTTTGGGGTTTTCTGGTGTTAAGTTCTGTAAGTTCTTTATACATTTTGGATACTAACCCCTTATCAGATGCATCGGCTAATATGTTCTCCCATTCAGTGGGCTGCCTTTTTAGTCTGTGGATGGTTTTCCTTTGCTGTGCGAAACCTTTGTAGCGTGACGTCGTCCCATTTATGAATCTTTTCTTTTGCTCCCCTTGCCCGAGGAGATGTATCAGATGAAACGTTGCTATCGGAATCACATTAAGCACCTTCTCTGCCCACGGTGCTGTAAACTGGAAATCAATCGCATGAAGAAAACTGAAATACATACAAAGACGCAGACACCAGACAACACGTCATTACACAGTGAGCGGGTCCCCAAGGAGATCCAGGAAGAAATCAAGACGCCTCGAAACACACGAAAATGAGGACGATGACCCCCAATCTGGGGGACTCGGGGAAGCAACCCCGAGAGGGGAATCGATAGCATGACAGGCCTATCTCAAGAAACAAGAAAGATCTCCAATAAACGGTCTACCTTCGCACTTAAAGGAGCTTGACAAAGAACAGCAGACGGAGCCCAGCGTGAGGAGAAGGAAGGAAATAATAAAGATCAGAGCAGAAATAAATGGAGTCTTTAAAAAAAAGGTACAAAAAACCAATGAATCTAAGGAGCTGGTTCTTGGAAAAGATAAGCAAGATCGACAAAACTTTAGCCAGACTCGTTAAGAAAAAGAGAGAGAGCACCCGAATAAATAGAACCGAAAATGAAAGAGGGGAAGTAACCACCGAAACCAAAGAAACACGAGGGACTGCAGGCAAATGCGTGAACCACCCCAGGCCAGCCAAGTGGACAGCCTGGGCGGGACGGGTGCGTCCCCAGAAGCACACAGGCTCCCACGACCGAATGAGGAGGCGTCAGAGCACGCGGACAGACGGATGACACCTAATGGAAGCAGCAATCAAAAAACTCCCCAAAGTCAAAGGCCCTGGACCGGTTGGCTCCGCAGGTGAATCTCACCAAACATTCCAAGAAGAACTCGCACCTCTCCTTGCCAAACTCTCTCAGAACATTCAACAGGAGGGAAGACTCCTAAGCTCGTTTTACGAGGCCAACCTTATCCTAATTCCAAAACCAGATAGAGACACTGCAAAGAAAGAAAAGTACAGGCCGATATCCCTGATAAACACGGGTGCTGAAGTCCTCAACAACACATTAGCAAACCGGACACAGCCGTGCAGCAGAAGATCACACCCCACGATCAAGTGAGATTTATTCCAGGAACGCAAGGCTGATCAGTAAGTAGCTGTGACACACCCCACAGGGTTGTTTTTAAAGTCTCTAGCCCACTGCCTTTTGTCTGCGTCCCTCCTTATTATCTGACGTGGTGCCTTCTCCCGCCCCAAAGCCCGAGGGGCCCTAGGCCCCTGCTCCTCAGCTCGGTGTCCCCCTGCCCAGCACGTCAGCCGCGTCTGAGTGACGTCTGGGCGAGTTCACGTGGAGCAAGGAAGGGGGGCGGAGGCCCGGAGGTCTGCCCGGAGGTCTGCTCGAACCCAGCTCAAACTCCACCTCCTCCGGGAAGCCCTCCCTCATGTCCCAGCCCCTTCCACTGGTGTCCTCTCCTGACGCGTGCTGGGGAGGGCCACCTGGTTGCTTTCAGGGCTGACCTTTGAAGGCCTTCATTGCTGGCTTGCACCGGACCGTGGCCAGTTCTCCCCTGAATGTTTTCACTCGGCAAACTGGCCTCACGCGCAAGCTGGCCACCAGGCCTGGGTCCCTGGAACCCTGTGCCCCAGCCCCTTCCTCTAGGGTAAGGTGGGGGGCGAAGGTCGGGGCATGTGGTTGTGCTCGGGGTTGGGGGGTGGAGGGAGGGGCAGGGGTGGGAGCAGAAGACATGCTGCTTCTGACCACAGGCCCGAGGACTGGGCCCCCCGGCCGAGGCTCCCCCACCGGGGTCCCCTGCCTGCTCACGGGAGGGGCGGACTGGACCCCTCCCGGCAATGCCGGGCTGGGGCCGCTTTTCTCTCTAAGCTGGGTGAGCGTTCCCTTTCTTTCCTTTGGGGTTTGTTTTCTGAGCCAAAATCCTTTGTTTTTACCCACCCGAGGGCCACAGCCGGGCTGCCAGTGCAGGGGGGTGGGGGGAAGGCCGGCCTGGCGAGCCCAGCGCCGGGCGGAGGGTCCCTTCCTCTCCCGCCTGGATCTGGCGGCTGCGTGTGTCCCAGACCCTTGCCCCTGCGGCGCCCTCTCAGGCTGCGCGTCCAGTGAAGGGCCGTCTGGATAAAGGCACGGACCACCCGGACCACCCGGACCCCATAGCCTGGTCACCAGGCCCTGTGGCCCCCAGTCTGCTGCACCGCCGGGCGGGCTTGAGCCAGCCTGAGCGAGTCGGCCTTTCCCAGACCTGTTCCCAAGCCTGGACCCAGCCCTGCTCCAGCACCAGGCTGCCCTCCACCCAAGGGCCCCACGGCCGGGCACTGACAGAGGGGGGCGCTGGGGCGCAGGGGGGCTGGGAGGAGGTCCCGGGTGCACAAGTTGAAGGGGGAGCTCCGTCTGGCCAGCCTCCAGGTCCGGCGCTGTGGCTGGGGACTCCGGCTGTAACCCTTCTCCTCCCTCCTCCCTCCCCAGGTCCCCGGGGCCTTGGGGGCTCCTAAACGTCAGGCCGCTGGGGCTCCCCATTGGTGCCAAACCCAGCACACGGAACCCGCCCCCGGAGTTCCCACCCTGGTCTCCCAGCTTCCCTCCCCCGCTTTCCTTCCTGCTGTGCCCAGGGCCCCAGCGCCAAGCCTCCCATCCTGACCCTGGGCACCACGCGGGCCCCTCATGGGGGCTGGGCCATTGAGCACGTGACGATTTGGCTGGCTATGGACGACTGTCTGGTTTCAGTCCTGCGGGGTTCCCTGTCCTCCGAATTTTCAGGGACCAGAGCGTCGGAAGGCTGAGGGGCGTGGGCTTCCGGAAACGGCTTATCTAGTCTCTGTCGTTGCTGTCGAAGGGTTGAGTCCTGCTCTGGGAATGGTGTTGGGGAGTCGAAGTGTCTTTCTGCCTCAGTTTCCCTCTATGTGTACCAATGCTGACACTCGTAACATCGCCTCTTTCTCCGGTTTGCACAAAGGTTAAAATCCCAAGCAGGGACTGTGTTCGAATCCATGCATCCTGGATTTTGCAGGACACACTTAATTTCAAACCCTTCAGCCCCATTGTCAGCCAGATCTTGTGTCTGAACCTGCGTTCTATCTGGGACCAGAAAACACGGTCTGGGAGGATTCACGAGTTCTTCCTCCCGGAGCGGGCCGGCGTCTCACTCACTAACATGCGCACGAAACACCACTCTGATCCTGGGCTCCGGACCGGAGCCTGCCCTCGGAGCGACGGGAAAGGTCGTCCTGCCCAGCAGGAGCACAGCCCCGTCCCCTCCCCGGGCGGCTCCGGGAGAACCCCCACCCCCGGGCCCCGGACGGGCAAGGGGCTACTCACCTGCGCACAGCACGCCCAGCACAGGCTGCGCCCTCCCCGCCATGCTCTCGCTTCCTCTGGGCCCCGAGCCCACCCTGGAGCTGGCGGTAGCCGGGCGGGTCTGTGCTGACTCCTGAGCGCTACGCCAGCCTCTGGCCCGACCCAGAGGTTGCCTGTGGTTTCCTCCTATTCCTGTTCCCACAGACCCGCCCGGCCCGCGCACCCCAGCCTCACTCGGATTGGCAGGTGAGCTCCCCTGGGGGCGGCGCTTGAGTTGTACTTCCTCCCCCACCAAAGGTCCCCAAGGGGAGCCTGTCCACCGCCCCCGAGAACCAGCCTCTCCCTGCCTTTTCCGCACTCGCCAGAGGTGCAAAGTCCCAGGCGTCTCACCCAGGTGTGGCTCCTCCTCCAACGGACAGGAAGCTGCCGCTGGTGATAAAAAGGGAAAGGGTCTCAGGGAAGGGTCTGAGACCAGGGCAGGAGTGGGGTTGCCCGCATCCGAACCACCTCCAGGCGCCGTATGATCCGTCCCTCTGATTTCTGCCCCATCTGTGACGCTTCCACCACGAGGGGACGGAAGGTCTGTCCCCGCGGAGCGCTGGCCGTCTGGCCATGTAGTCGCAGAGCGCAACTTTGAAAAACCACGGCCACCTGGTCTCCAGTTGCTTGGGACTCTCCCAGTTTTAAGCCCGAAGTCCCGGGAGCCAGAACTTCTCTGTCCGGCAAACTGGGATGGCTGGTCATCGGCTCCAGAGTCCGAGTCCTGGGGGGACCATCGCCTGGGAGGGGTACAGGGCCCCTCCTTAGGGCGAATGGGGACATGGGCGGGTGGTTCTCTGCAGTCCAGATGGGGAGCTGCCTCTCGGAGACGTGACGTGACGTGGGCGCCCCCGCAGCTCCCGCCGAGAGCAGTCTCGTGTTTCCCCTCGTGCCTCTCATCAGCGGTCTCGATGTCACTCTGCAAGTTCAACGGTGGGGGGGCCCTCAGTCCCCTGTCCTCCCGGGCGGTCCCTCCTTACCAGTTGCCTCTCTTGTTGTGTTAGCTCTCCATGTAGCCCCCGCCTCCCTCCCACCACCCCTTCCCTGTGCTGGGCGGTCACCCGGGGCCTGGCCCTGCCGGATGCCCCCTGCCGCCCCTCCCCGCCCCTCCCTGCCCCATTCCCACTGTTGGCAGAAATAATACAAGCGGAGCCACTAAATGGCACCGAAGCTGCCGCCCCGGAGGAGCCGTCTTGCACATCTGATGCCTCAAACATTGGATGAAAACACGGCAAAAGGACCTCGGCCGGGGCCTAGGGCAGCCGCGTGTCCCAAGGAGCTGCCCGCGAAGAGAGCGCGGAAGCAGCTGTTCTGACTGCTGAGCGAGAATGTGAGACCCTCGTAGAATCAACACCCCCGTGCCGTGCGCGCGCGGCTCCGACAGCAGAGCTGCTCTTCCGTCGACGTCATTGTCCCCCCCCCTTCCCAGGAGTCCCCCCCCCCCCCGCCTCTGCCTCCTTGCCGGACCCCGTCTGGGCGTCCGCCCGGGTTAGCGCTTCCCGCACGGCGGTTCTCCCTGACCTCCGGTGCGCGCTGGTCGCCTCTCCCTTCCAAAGGCCTTTTCATTTTCGAATCAACGTGATCCACACTGCGCTTAACAATTTGCCCTAGGAGGGTTCCCCGGGAAATTCGTTCATTAAGAGAAAATCACCAAAGCCCACCACGCGCCAGGCGTGATGAGGTCCCCGGGCAGGGGTGGCGGGAGGGGGTGACCTGGGTGCCAAGCGGCACGGGGCTGCCCTCCGCCCAGTTCCTTGCCAACAGGCGGCTTCTCGTAGCGTTTACTCGACCGCACGCACACGGGAGGCGGGCCTTGTGGCGGCGACAGAGGGGGAAAGCGAGTCCCCTCCCACTGCTGTCTCCCCGCCAGCCGGTCCCACTCTGCGGGGCAGCCGCGGTTCCCGGTCTCTCCACGGCTCCTGTGTGCGTTTATGATCTAATGTACATGCCAGGGCTTGTTCTGCGACACAGCCTACCTCCCACAACACGCGCCCTGCACTCCGACCCAGTTGGACGCCTCCTCACACTCAGGAGTCGTGTGTCATCGCCCCCCCCCCCCCCGCCACCCTGCACTGCGTCCGCGCCATCCCCTCCGGGACTCCTGTCCCCACGGGGTCTGCTGTCGGAACCCCCCAGCTTGTCCTCTGAGAGCCAGCCCTGCGTCCGGGAGCCCACTCCAGCCCTCTCCAGCCGGGCTGGCCGCCTCCCGCCCTCAGCTCCCGCCGCACGCCGGGGCTCTCGCGGGGCGCGGAGGGCACTCTCTCTGCCTGGTGCTTGAGTTATTTTTGACCCGTGTCTCATTCCTCCTGATAAGACAATGAGCGCATTCATGTCTTCAGCCAGTTTTTCGTGATAGCGTGTGTGTGTCAGGGATCATTCCACCTAGCCAGGAAAAAGGGCCATGTGAAGTGTGCGACTGTGCCGTGGCTTACCCGGATCAAGGACAGTGTCTGGCACATAGTAGGCAATCAGCAGATACCTATGAATGGGAAGGCAAATGGCTGGGTGGGTGAGTGGGTGCGTAGATGGCTGGGTGAATGGCTGGGTGAGTAGATAGGTGGGTGGGTGGGTGTGTGGGTGGGTGAGTGGATGGGTAGGTGGGTGGATGGGTGGGTGGGTGAGTGGGTGGGTGGATGGATGGGTGGGTGGGTGGGTGGGTGGATGGGTAGGTGGGTGAGTGGGTGGGTGGGTGGATGGCTGGGTGGGTGGGTGGGTAGGTGGATGGGTAGGTGGGTGAGTGGGTGGGTGGGTGGGTGAGTGGGTGGGTGGGTGGATGGGTGGGTGGGTAGGTGGGTGAGTGGGTGGGTGGGTGGATGGCTGGGTGGGTGAGTGGGTGGGTGGGTGGGTGGGTGGATGGGTAGGTGGGTGAGTGGGTGGGTGGGTGGATGGCTGGGTGGGTGGGTGGGTAGGTGGATGGGTAGGTGGGTGAGTGGGTGGGTGGGTGGGTGGGTGGGTGGGTGAGTGGGTGGGTGGGTGGGTGGGTGGGTGGGTAGGTGGGTGAGTGGGTGGGTGGGTGGATGGGCTGGGATGGGTGGGTGGGTGGGTAGGTGGGTGGGTGGGTGGGATGGGTGGGTGGGTGGGTGGGATGGGTGGGTGGGTGGATGATGGATGGGTGGGTGGGTAGGTGGGTGGGTGGGTGGATGGGTGGGTGGGTGGGTGGGTGAGTGGGTGGGTGGGTGGGATGGCTGGGTGGGTGGGTGGGTAGGTGGATGGGTAGGTGGGTGAGTGGGTGGGTGGGATGGGATGGGTGGGTGGGTAGGTGGGTGGGATGGATGGATGGGTGGGTGGATGGGTGGGTGGGTAGGTGGGTGAGTGGGTGGGTGGATGGATGGGTGGGTGGGTGGGTAGGTGGGTGAGTGGGTGGGTGGGTGGGTGGGTGGGTGGATGGGTAGGTGGGTGGGTGGGTAGGTGGGTGAGTGGGTGGATGGCTGGGTGGGTGGGTGGGTGGGTGGATGAAGGGGCAATCACGGGATGTGTGGGACCAGGGGGTGAAGTACTGGGCTCTGCTCCGATCACAGGGTTGGCGGGAGGCGGTGTCATGGAGCAGGGTGGCTTGTGAGTTTACACGAAGTTTATGAAGCTTGAGGAATTTTGGCCTCGTCCAGGCTGTCAGCTGACCCTCGCCGAGAGGCGATGGGTCACTAGAAGGGGAGTACCAACAGCGCCCGGTCTCCTCGCCAGGGCCGTCCGTGTTGACAGGAATGCAACCCGGCTCGTGAGCTCCGACCTCCCGGCAGCCACCCCGGTGCGCCCCACACCTGTGGGAGCCCCGCCCGCTCTGCTCAGCGGGTGCCTGCCCCAGCCCCCCCCCAAGCCCACATGGGCTGGGGTGCAGCTGGTCTCATTCCTCTGAGCCCTGCCCAGGCTGCCCCAGGCCGAGGGGGCGGGGTACGGAGAGAGGGCCCCCAAAGGCTTTCCTCTAGGCTGCCCGACCCCCGCAAAGCGCAGACGCCCCGCCCATGTGGCCACCGGCTGTCCGAGGGGAGAGCCGGCCCAGAGGGAAGGGGTTAAGCGGGCCTGCATTCCTCCCTCCCAGAGACTGGCCGGCTGTGGGGGCCAGAGGCTAAACTTAGAAGGCAGCTAAGGTTTCCTGGTAACAGCTGTCCTGCCCGGCAGGGAAGAGGCGCTGGGGAGACAGTCAGGCCCCTCCCCGGTGGGGCCTCGGCCCCTTTCCCCGGGTCCCTCAGTCCCCGGGAGGCTGCCCCTTGGTGTGGAGACTCGGGCAGTTCCGCAGTGAGTACACGCCTTTCTCCATGCATCCAGTGGGCCCAGGACCCAGGGCGGGCAGCCGAGGGCGGCAGCTCCATCCTGGGGGTCAGGGCCCAGCCCCGGCTGGGGCGGCTCTGGGGATTTCTCAGTCCTGAGCTGGGGGCGGGGGTTGGGGGCTTGGGGGGCACAGTGGCTCCAGGGCCAGCTGCCCCTCCCCCAGCGGGGACCGCAGTGAGCGTGGGAGAGTGCGGGTGCCTGTATTCACGGCCTCCTGGGTCTTTCTGAACTCTCTGTATCACCCTCTGGGTGCCCCACCGCCGCCCCACCCCTTCCTGGCACCTGCGGAAAGAGCCAGGGTGTCACTTCCTAAATCTCGAGACCCCGAGCTGGGCTCTCTGCTCGGCCGGGGCGTCCCGGGGATGGTGGCTGCGCCGGGTGGGCCTCGGTCTCCCCCGAGGGTTCCCTCCCCAGGAGGGTATTAGCAGGCGGTGGCCCTCCGCCCCCAGCCTTACGGAGGTGACATTGCCCTCACGCCTCCGCCCCCCACGAGGCCTCCGGCGCTGGGTCCCTGAATGGCCTTTCTCCCTTACAGAGCCTGACCGGCCGTCATGGCGACCGGCAGGGACCGCGAGGAGGAGCAGGTGGTCCCCAGCGAGGAGGATGAAGCGGACGTGAGGGCCGTGCAGGCCCGGTACCTCCGCAGCCCCTCGCCCAGCCGGTGAGTGAGCCCTGCCTGGGGGGTGGGGGCCAGGGAGCCCACCGCCGGCCCCTAGGTTCACCGATTCAACGAACCTCCGGGGGTCCTTTCTGTGTGTCGTCCTTCCCGGAGCAGGAACACCAGGACAGACTGCCCCCCGGGGGCGGGGGGCGGTGGGTGAGAATCCCCACCTGGGGTCAGCGTGTGGCGGGCCGGGGGCCGGGACCGCTGGACTTGGACAGGGCATAGGGGGCTTCCTGGGGGAGGGGATGCCGGACCTGGACCCTGAAGGGTGAGCGGGAGTCTGGCGGGTGAACCTGGAGGGCGGGTGGTGACCACAGACTGTAAGCGGCCCCGCGGCCAGGCCCGGGGACAGAGACACTCTGACTCGTGACCAGGCCGGGTCTTTCCAACCGGGACACAGGTCTGCCCGGGGGCGAGTGGCGGTGAGCCCCGGGCACGGAAGCGTGACGCGGCCTCCCGGGGAGTCCCCTGTGTGTTATGACAACGGGGCTGGGAGGCTTCCCCGCGGGAGCGAGACGGGCGTGAAGGCGGGCACGCGGCCCGGTGGGGCCTGGGGACTTGTGCTTTGAAACCCCGCCTTCGGATCCCGCGTAGAGAAGCCCCCAGGGCGGGGAGGGTTAAGGCGCCCGCCCGCCCCGCCTGCAGGCCTGCCCCAGGAGGCTGGGTTGGCGGGCGCAGCCGTGGGCAGCGCCACCCCCGCTTCCACGCTCAGAAACTTCCCGAACGGGGGCCCGAGTCGTGACCCAGGAACCCAGGCTCCCGTTTATCCTGGAGGCCCTGCGTTCCTCGGCGTGCCTTCTAAAATTAGCGCGCGTCCGCAGAGACCAGGCGGAGAGAGCGGGACTCGCGGGAGGCGCCTGGGCCGGGCCTGAAAGCGGCCGTCGCTCTCCGGCCTCGCGCTCCCCCGTCGCTGGGACGGCGGGCCGTGGTTTCTTGTGTGGAGGGGGGACGGCGGGGGTCCGAGCTCAGGAAGGGGCCGTCCCGGCCACGGTGCACCCTCCAGACAGCCGGGGTTCGCTCACCCTTTTCCCCATTGGGGGGGGGGGCACACCGGCGGCCTCCCCAGGGAGGGATCCCCGAGTCTCCTTCCCCGGCTGCTGTGTGGAGTTCAAGGGCCCGCTGTTTCAGGGCTTACAGCACCCGAGGGCTTTGCCAAGGCTCCTGGTCTCCTTAGAAATATGATCCTTAATAGGTTTCTGAGCTGCGCGGACCAGATAACTCCCTGAGTCAGAGCCCCGCCCAGAGTTCTCTCCTGGCCCCGTTTCCACCCGGACTTATTTCTTCGCCTCCTGGTCTCCGCGCTGCGCCGCTCGGCTTGGCGGAGCGGCCGAGAGAGGCTTTCTGAGACAGCGGGTCTGAGCAGGAAGCCGGGGTGCTGGCTGTCGTTCCCAGTGTGACTGTCGCGAGAGTCACAACAGAATGTACAGTTAACAGTCTGATGCGGGGAGGATACGGTCACAAAATATAATCAGTGCAGAAGGAGGCAAGAAAGAAAACAGACACAGAAAATGATAACAAAATAACAAGAAAACAATGTAAAAAAGCATAACCAATAATAAGAAAAAGCATATGAAATAAGAAAACGGTAGACTTAAACTCAAATACGTAATTACATTAAACACAAAGAGACTAAATACTACAATTAAAAGGCAATTGTCAGACTCAAATTTTTTTAAGATTTTATTTATTTATTTTAGAGAGAGAAGGGAGGGAGATAGAGAGAGAAACATCAATGTGT